CCTTCCGCTTTTTTTAAAAAAAATATGCTGATTTGTTAGATAAAGTGTTGCCTCCATACAAACAGAGGACAAAACCACGAATGTTAAATGAATTTCCACATTTTTACTTCAAGAGCACCTAGAACTTCTTCAGAGACAGATGAAAGGGCAAGAAATCAATAAAAACAACTCCCTAAACCCACCAGTGTGCTGACATGACATTAAAAGGTTAAACAAACTACTCCTTTTTCTCTGCACTAACACAATGACTCCTCACTTAACAATAGAATTAATAACATGTTTTCTCATATATATCCTTTGAATATTATTTTTCTTGCACTAGGGTTAATAACTGAACTATGGTTTTGCTTATCTAACTCAAATCGGGACCTTACCTTTTCATGGATGGCTCTCCGGTTTGATGGCTGCACCAAGACCTTGTATCCCATCTGCGTCAATTCCTTAACATGCTTTGGTGCTAGAGGTGCTCTCCTTTCCCATGCATTAACATCTTCTCTCCTGATCGCCAGCACAGACTTACGATGATGCCAACACTTAGCCTGATGGAACGCACACCTACCATTTGTGTGACTAAAGGCTCGGAGCATGGTAAAGCCTGATGGCAGCAAAGACATAGTAAAATAATACATGTATATGTACGCTTCAAACATTGTGCAAAAGTTCTGGTCTCCTTTAACATCTGCTGTAAAACACAAACCAGGTACTTTAGCTACACCCTACTTCTGTGAGACATGAATTTACTTTCAGTGTACTTTGTTGCATCACAGTTAGGTGGGGTGTCGTTACAGAAGCAAATTGTTTGTACTATGGTAAAATAAAGCATTTAGTGTGTTCAATGTACCAAGTCTTTCATTACACGGCTTAAAAAGAATGCTGGAAATTTAAAGATACCAATTAAATTAATTTGCCAGCATAAACATGCAAAGACCAAGCACTTATCAAAGCTTGCGTCAAGAACAGTAAGAATTAACAAACACACAGAAAGAAAGTAGAACACAGGCTATAAAGCAAGCAGTTGATTAAAAGAGAAAGCCCAATATGTAAGACCGATGCTAAGTATTTTTCCGTTACTAACTCTTACACAAGCTGAAAATGGAAGACAAGGACAAGACCTTAGCTATCGCTTAGCAGTCAGCATATGTGTGTGACAGGTTTTCTTCCGAGTCAAAATTTTACACTAAGTGGGAAAGCTTTGTTAGAACAGATTCCCACTGCAAAGCGGGATTTTTTTAATTTTCTCTCTCCTCCTCTTCACTCCCAGTGAAGGATATATGCCCCTGCTTAGCTCTGCTGTGAATGGCAAGGGCTCTGCACAGGCCCAGCACCAAACACCTAGGAGCCTAAGGACTTCAGATATTTATGACATCAAAAGATGTGGATCTCAAATACAGAGGCTTCAAAGAAGTGAATTTTGTTTCCAAAGCAATTTTAACTTTTTTTATTTGCATGAATCTCTGTATCCGAATCATCTGGAAAATCACGTTTGTCCTCACGCCTCAATCTTGTAAAATCTCTATACACCTAGGCCTTCAGAGGCTCTAATTTAACTCCAGGCTTGCTTCAACAGAAAAACTAGCACACTAAGGGAGGAGTACCAGAAGCACGCCGTCCTCTACGCTAGCTCTGACTGCGGTCTTCCCACCATCGCTAAATTTGTCCACCAGCAGAAGTTACCGTACAGAAGTTGGAGCTATTTTATGACACTGCTCTTCAGCATGCTAAGAGGATCCTCAGAGAGCATGCCGGTACCTCTCAACAGCAGAGGAAGCCTTGTCACACAGTGTCACTGGTACCGCATGCTAAAATACAACGATGGGAGCAGTTCCTATGGAGAAACCAGTGCGCTGCACACCTCCTACCCGAGCCTGCGGCTGAAGCCAATTTTCCTCACACAGAGGAGTCCTGCCAAGAAGAAAAACGCCGCTTTCAAGAGGGAGCGAGCCGCCCCGCGCTCCCAGCGTGAGGGGGGCAGGAGGGCAGTAAGCAAACACCCCCTCTGACCTCTGGCAGGCCGCAAGCTCCTACGCCTGCCTCCCTGTGTGTGCTCAGGCTCAGCCGCAGAGATACGGATATCCTGCTGTAGAGGTGAAAGCAACTTTAGGATTCAAAGCCTGCGGACCCGGGGAACCCTGCCCGCCCCCCCCGGCAGGCCGGCCCGGCGAGGGACGCCCACGGCTCCCGCTCCCCGCCCCCCGCGCCGCGGGGGCTGAGCTCCACCGAGACCGAAGCGGCGCTGAGCAATACGGCCAAAGGCAAAAAATAAACTAAAATAACAGCAATGCATCTGATGGCAGCGCAGGGTTTGAACACGACCCTATTTCCACGGCGAGTGGAGCACACCTATACGGGCAACTTGTGCCTCCGCTTA